AAAAAAAAAAAAAAAAAAAAAAAAATCCAACAGTTAAATATGATTGTGGTTCTCCATCTCCATGTATATTGGTAAAATGCCACTGAATTAGACACAAAGACATATTCTTCTTCCCCCAAAAAGGATGCATGTAAAACCTGGTGAAATTGTCTAGTTAGTTGTATTATACCAGTGTCAATTTCCTAGCTTTAATAATGCATTATAGTTATATAAGTGGGAAAAGCTGGGTGGTGGGTACCCAGGACTTCTCTCTACGGTTTTTTTCAATTACTGATGAGTCCATAACTAATTCAAAATAAAAAGTCTTAAAAATCCTTCAATTGGGATGAATACTCCATTCTCCATGATGTCATTATGTATTGCATGCCTGTATGAAAACATCTCATTTTCCCATAAATATATACATTTACTATGTACCCACAAAATATAAAAATTAGGCCAGGTGTGGTGACACGTGCCTGTAATCCCAGCACTTTGGGAGGCCAAGGAGGGCAGATCACTTGAGGTCAAGAGTTGGAAACCAGCCTGGCCAACATGGGGAATCCCTGTCTACTGAAAATACAAAAATTAGCCGAGTGTGGTGGCATGTGCCTGTAATTGCAGCTACTCAGGAGGCTGAGGCAGGAGGATTTCTTGAACCTGGGAGGTAGAGGTTGCAGTGAGCCAAGGTTGTGCCATGGCACTCCAGCCTGGGCAACAGAGTAAGACTCTGTCGCAAAAAAAGAATAAATAAATAAAAATAAATTATTAAAAATTAAACAGAAAACAAAAACGTCTGTCGGGGCAGTTTGAAAAATGATGTTATATCCATGGCATGGATTCTTCAGCCATTATAAAGAGTGAGGTAGATTTGTGTAATAACATGGAGAAGAGAGGGCCATCTAGATTCTCCATTTAAATATTCTCCAGCCCAATATTGATAAAAGCATCCCATTGTGTAGAAATTCCATTGTGTAAAAACAAAACTAGACTTCTGTAATAATATATGTCCATAAGGCATAGGCAGAGGTCTAGATAAGAACATCAAAGTTCTAGATAAACACCAAAGTGTTGATAGTGGCGATTTCCAGGACATGGAGATTGGGAGGGGGCCTTTCACATCTTTCTCGATGCATGTCAGTGTTGTTGGAACGTTTGTCTATAAAGCGTTTCCTATTTTTACAATGTTTAGAAAAACAATGAAATGTTACATAAATAAGTGGCATACAGGGCCAACAACAACAGTAACAAAAGCCAGAACACCAAGCAAATGCCTGCCTGTGAATCTTCAAGTTCTGGTGTGTGTGAAAATGAAAGAAATACACTGAGCTGCTAGTATTTCAGTGGTTGAGTCCAGCCAAAAGGCTTGTTTCGATCGCAGTCTGCTTTGAGCTATTGTTCATCATGTTCTTGCCAAAGATAATCAATTCTGTCACTTCTCAGAGGGGAGAAAAATTAGTAACCTGTATTCTTAACTTCCTTTATGACAACAGAGCCTTTGGTTTTTTAAAGTTATATTCTTGGATGCATTTTTAGTGCATTCATCTTTTGTGATAGAGGGAACTTTTTAAGCATTTATCTTGTCTTAGCAGTAAGAATCTGCTGTCCATATGTTGGGATTTGCCCTAGTTAATCTTTCCAGAATTGGTGGGACAGGAGATCTCGTTCATGTGTATGTGTATGTGTGCGTGTGTGTGCATGTGCACGTATATGAGATAGAGTAAACCTCACGGAGGCATGTGTTTCTGTTTTCCTCCCCATCTTATCATCAGTGTTTGGAACAGGGGCTGGTATAGTCAACCCTTGGTATACTCGGGGGATTGATTCTGGGATCTGCATGCATGTGTCTTTTTTCTTTTTTTCTTTGTTTTTTTTTTTGAGATAGAGCCTTGCTCTGTCACCCAGGCTGAAGTGCAATGGCCTGATCTCCGCTAACTGCAATCTCTGCCTCCTGGGTTCAAGCGATTCTCCTGCCTCAGCCTCCCGAGTAGCTGGGACTACAGGCGCACCACAATGTCTGCCTAATTTTTGTATTTTTAGTAGCAATGGGGTCTCATCATGTTGGCCAGGCTGGTCTCGAAATCCTGACCTCAGGTGATCCACCCACCTTGGTCTCCCAGACTGCTGGGATTACAAGTGTGAGCCACTATGCCTAGCCTTTGCATATATCAATATCCATGCATACTCAAGTTCCCTCAGTCGGCCCTGTGGAACCCATGTATACTTGAGTTTGGTATCTCACAAAGACTGTATTTTCAATCTGCATATGGTTGAAAAAATCCATGTATAAGTGGACCCATGCAGCTCAAAACCATGTTATTCAAGTGTCAACTGTATACGAAAGTTGCTCATTAGGTAGGTGTTGAATGATTATTTCTGTGTGTCGGGGAGTATCAGTGTGATGATTACACAGAATTTCTCTTTTCTTTTCTTAGCCTTTTCTGAAGGCCACTTTGCCATTGGTCTTTAAGAATGACTTTTCAAATGTAAATACCCAACAGTGGGTTAGGGAAGACATTTATGATGTGGTCAATTGTGTCTCCAGTGAGGATGCTTTTGGCTGCAAGGAACAAACACCTAACTAGTCTGGCCTCCACGTTTAATTCCACGTGTCCTCCTCCACAACAAGTGCAGGCTCTAGGGTGAGCAGCTTCTGTCCATCTTTATGCTCTGCTGTCCCTGATTATTAGCAGAGTGGGTACAGCCATTCCAGGCATCACATCCAGAGGTGACAGCATCCAGGGAATCTTTGATTCTTGGGTCCTTGTTAAGAACAGGAAACCTTTCTCCAAATCCCCCAGAGACTTCCCATCCTGTCTCAGCAGCTAGAAATGGGTCACAGGCAAGGGGAACGAGACCCACTATGATTGGTTTGGACCTGTACTAGTCTGCTTGGGCTTCCACAACAAAATACCACAGACTAGGAGCTTTACAATTTTTTTTTAGAGATGAGGTTTCGCCATGTTGCCCAGGCTGGTCTGGAGCTCAAGCCGTTTGTCCCTATCAGCCTCCCAAAATGCTGGGATTACAGGCGTGAGCCACCATGCCTACCAGGTCTTTTTTTTTTTTTTTTTNTTTTTTTGTGACAGGGTCTCACTCTGGTACTCAGGCTGGACTGCAGTGGCATAATCATAGCATTCCTGGGCTCAAGTGATCCTCCCACCTCAGCCTCATGAGTAGCTGGAATCACAGACACATACCACCACACCCAGCTATTTTTTTAAAAAAGTTTTGTGGCTGGGCATGATGGCTCATGCCTCTAATCCCGCACTTTGGGAGGCTGAGGTGGGCAAATCATCTGAGGTCAGGAGTTCAAGACCAGCATGGCCAACATGGTGAAACAGCATCTCTATTAAAAATGCAAAGATTAGCCAGGTGTGGTGGCACGCCTGTAATAGCCCTGCTACTTGGGAGGCTAAAGCAGGAAAATTACTTGAACCCGGGAGGTGAAGGTTGCAGTGAGCCAAGTTTGTGCCACTGCACTCTAGCCTGGGCAACAGAGCAAGACTTTGTCTCAAAAAAAAGGCCTGGCGCTGTGGCTCACACCTGTAATCTCAGCACTTGGGGATGCCGAGGAGGGCAGGTTATCTGAGGTCAAGAGTTCAAGACCAACCTGGCCGACATGGTGAAACCCCGTCTCTACTAAAAATACAAAAAATAATTAGCCAGGTGTGATGGCACACATCTGTAGTTCCAGCTACTCAGGAGGCTGAGGCAGGAGAATTGCTTGAATCCGGGAGGTGGAGGTTGCAGTGAGCTGAGATTGTGCCACTGCACTCCAGCCTGGATGACAGAGCAAGACTCCGTCTAAAAATAAAAATAGTTTTTAAAAAAATTGATGTAGAGATGGGATTGCACTATATTGGCCAGGCTGGTGTTGAATTCCTGGGCTCAAGTGATCCTCCCACCCCAGCCTCCCAAAGTCCTGGGATTGCAGGCATGAGCCACTACCCCCAGCCTGCACAAATCCCATTTCTACCACTTATTAGGAATTGGCTTAGCCTATCTGAGCTTTGGCTTTTTCATCTGTAAAATGGGGATAATGTTCCATGGGTCTCACAAGGACATGATGAAGAGTAAGGGAGTAAAGGGAAGTAAAGGACTTAGCCCAAAACCTGGGCAGTGCTCAGTGTCCTGTAATTACCTCTGGTTCTAGGCTTGACCTTCCCCGAACCACTGCCCTAAATGATCCTTCTTCCATTGATTTTCTTCAAAACAGGAGCTCTTTTAAAGATACGTAATTGTCTTAAGATAGCTCCAAAGCCATTAACAGTATTTCAATAAGTTGAGGAAAAAAATTTCACTTCCTCTGGGTGGAAAAAAATAGGCTTCAAACTGTATTGGAGAAGAAATGTGTCAAAGAACGTGGCCTTTGATGCCAGCCTGCCCAGGTTCATGTCTGGCTGCATCACTAACTCTGCCACCTTGGGTGAAAAATGTTGCTATTCGTGGCTTTGTTTTTCGTCTGTGAAGTGGGAGAATAGGGCCCCTGCTTCACGGTTGGTTGGGAGAGGTAAGATCATGAGGGCAAAGTGGTTTGCACTGTGGCTGGTGGGCGTTAAGCTCTGGCCCAGTGTTTGTTGCTCATATTACTAATGGCACCCTGGATACCTCCTGAAATGGGGGAGAATGTGGGATTAGAGAAGAGGTGGGGAGCAAAGTAATTGTCATTCTCACTTGAGCCCTGGCGTGCAGGAGTTATCTACCATCATCCTGTAGTGACCTGGCAGATGGGGTGGTACCACTTGTAGCCTTCCAATAAGGACAAGGAGACCCAGGTCCAACAGAGTCGACAATTCTCCTTACGTCTCAGTGTTGGTAGTTGGTGAGGCCGGATTTGAATCCAAGTGTGCCTTATGCCAGGGCCCCAGCTTCTGTTGATTGATTGATTGACTGATTGAGACAGGGTCTCCTTCTATCGCCCAGGCCGGAGTGCAGTGGCACGATATCAGCTCATAGCAGCCTCTACGTCCTGGGTTCAAGCGATTCTCCTGCCTCAGCCCTCTGAGTAGCTGTGATTACAGGCACCCGTCACCATACCTGGCTAATTTTTGTGTTTTTATTAGAAATGGGGTTTCACCATATTGGCCAGACTAGTTTTGAACTTTTGACCTCAAGTGATCTACCCACCTCGGCCTTCCAAAATGCTGGAATTACAGGTATGAGCCACCGTGCCTGGCCCCCAGCTTCCATTTATTACACTGAATGCCATGAAAGTGAATTTTTTCCTCCCCCAGCCTCCCCATTCCTGTCAGACACTGAGAATTATCTTAATGGACATGCAGCTATGTTCATTTTAGAGTGTGACTTTGGAAATCTCTTAGAAATGTTACTTTAGCTCCTCCAACCTGATTTTTAATTATTGTTATTTTTAACTTATAGACTCTGCTGACCGAGATGATGGAAAGGTGTAAGAAACTAGGAAACAAGTAAGTATTTTCACATTCAAAAGCATGAGTTTGAAAATGGCATTGGCTGCTGTTTTTGAGCTTGGCCTGCTTTCCTGGGCATGAGCTGAAGAGAGAGAAGCAGGATCGCATGGAGGTTTAGAATGCTAGAGTCCAGTTGCCTGGCCTCATACCTTGGCTCTGTTCCATCTTAGCCTTGTAATCTTGGGCTGCTTACTTGACCTCTCTGTACCTGTGTCTCCTCATCTGTAAAACAGGTGTAATAATCTTTCTAACCGAGCATGGTGGCTTACGCCTGTAATCCCAGCACTTTGGGAGGCTGAGGCATGTAGATCACCTGAGGTCAGGAGTTCGAGACCAGCCTAGCCAACGTGGCAAAACCCCATCTCTACTAAAAATACAAAAATTAGCTGGACATGGTGGCATATACCTGTACTTGGGAGACTGAGGCAGGAGAATCACTTGAACCTGGGAGTCAGAGATTGCAGTGAGCCGAGATCATGACACTGCACTCCAGCATGGGCTATAGAGTGAGACTCCGTCTCAAAAAAAAAGAAAAAATAATAATAGTAATGGTTATTTCCCTATGGGGCTGAGGTAGGTGGTTGGGCTAGGATGAAGTTGATCTCCCTGACTCTCATGAATATGAGGTTGTCTCTCTGCTTTCCTTTCAGTGGTAGATAGATGTCAACAGCCTTTCATGGTCTTTGTTCACCACTGTGTCCCCAGTGCCTGGTGCCTATAACATAAGATCTCTTTCCTAAGAAATCTCTTGCGTAAACTGGCCAGACATGATGGCTCATGCCTGTAATCCCAACACTTTGAGAGTGGGAGACTGAGGTGGGTGGATCACCTGAGGTCAGGAGTTTGAGACTAGCCTGGCCAACATGTTTCACCCCATCTCTCCTAAAAATACAACAATTAGCCAGGCATGGTAGCATGTACCTGCAATCTCAGCTACTCGGGAGGCTGAGGCAGGAGAATCGCTTGAACCTGGGAGGTGGAGGTTGCATTGAGCTAAGATCATGACACTGTACTCCACTCTGGGCAACAAAGTGAGACTCCGTCTCCAAAAAAAAAAAAAAAAAAATTCTGCATAAACAATGTGGATATATATTTACAACGTGGATCAGTATTGTTACTTACTGTTTAGTCTTATTAGTGTACCAGCTTATTGAAGCCTTGCTCTTCTTCTCCTTTTTTTTTTTTCTTTTTTTTTAATTGTACTTTAGGTTCTGGGGTACTTGTACAGATCATGCAGGGTTGTTGCATAGGTACTTACATGGCAAGGTGGTTTGCTGCCTCCATCCCCCCGTCACCTATATCTGGCATTTCTCCCCATGTTATACCTCTCTACCCCCTGACTCTTCTTCTTAAATGAACTGGTTCACTTGCTGATCTATATGTCTGTCCACTCTGCCATCTATCATCTACCCATCTAAACATCCAGTGAATTCAACATTTATTGAGTTGCACATATGTACTGTACAGGACACTGTGTCAGTCTCCACAGTTTACCTTTTTACTCTGGTCTTTTTTTTTCTCCCCCAACCCTACCACTGAAGAGTTATTACTCATTCTTCCTGGCAATATATATCCAAAAATTAAGGCAACTTTGATTGAGGAGAAGCTAGGCTGACTTGGGGATCTGTGTCTTGCAGTGCTTTGCTGTTGAATTCCGTGATGTCTGCTTTCCGGGCTGAGTTCATCGCCACAAGGTCTATGGATTTCATTGGCATGATTAAAGAGTGTGATGAATCTGGTTTTCCCAAGGTAGGCTCCTGACTTCATGCTTAGAAAGACGCAAGTAAGTGGTGTGTATCCAATAGCTCTTGAAGACAGCCCTGTTTTAGAAACAGTGTGGGCCTGCAGGAACATAGGCGAAGGCTCTGTTTCTGAGGAATGCAATGGAAGATGAGTTAGAGATTGGAATTGTCAGACGCCATGTGATTGCTATGCTTCAGGCCCCCATGAGCCCTAAATCTATCAAATTAACTCACTATGAAGGAATTAAGGAAGACTTTGGTCTAACATATTTAAGACAATATCAGGCTGGGCACGGCCGTTCATGTTTATAATCCCAGCACCTGGGAGGCCAGGAGTTGGAGACCAGCCAGGGCAACAAAGCAAGACCTAATCTCTACAAAAAATCAGAAATTAGCTGGGTGTGGTGGTACATACCTGTAGTCCCAGCTACTTGAGAGGCTAAGGTGGGAGAATCGCTTGGAGCCCAGAAGGTTGAGGCTACAGTGAGCCGTGATTATGTCAAGAAGCCTGGTGACAGAGTGAGACCCTATCCCAAAACAAAATAATATATCTTCATTCATTATTAATGAAAAACTTTGTCCAGTGAAATATTATATCCCCAAATTAGACCAATAGATGCAGCCAACTCTGTTGTGAGCTTCTCCGTGTAGCTAGGACAGATATGTGGTAGAACTTCAGAAGGAGGTTGTTGGAAGATAAGCCCCAAGAAGGATTAAACATTACAACCTTTTCTTTTCTTTGAGCTTCAGGTTACTTTGATTTAAAATTTCCGTAACATGATGGTTTGACATTTTTCTTAGCATCTCCTTTTTCGATCACTGGGGTTAAACTTGGCGTTGGCTGATCCTCCGGAGAGTGACCGACTTCAGATTCTCAACGAAGCTTGGAAAGTTATCACTAAGCTGAAGAATCCACAGGTAGGTGGGCTTTTTTTTTTTTTTCTTTTGAGATGGAGTCTCGCTCTGTCGCCCAGGCCAGAGTGCAGTCCGCCTCCCAGGTTCAAGCGATTCTCCTGCCTCATCCTCCTCAGTAGCTGGGATTACAGGTGTGTGCCACCATGCCTGGCTAATTTTTGTATTTTTAGTAGAGACGGGGTTTCACCACGTTGGCCAGGCTGTCTCAAATATCTACCCACCTCAGCCTCTCAAAATGCTGGGTTTACACTTTGAGATTACACAGTGACATAAGCCACTGTGCCCGTCCTGCCATTTAAACTTTAAATTAACTGCATTTTGTCCAACTTCTGCCATCTACTCTTTCAAAAAATTACCCTTCCAAGCCGAACATGGTGGCTCACACCTGTAATCCCAGCACTTTGGGAGGCTGAGGCAGCAGGATCGCTTGAGGCTGGGAGTTTGAGACCAGCCTAGACAATATACCAAGACCCCTGTCTCTATTTGAACTGAAAAATAATCTTTTCATTATTTATACTTTTTTTCTCTAAAGAAATCTATTTCTTAACATTATTTGTCTACCTGTAATAAAGCGCAGATAACTTTAAAAATATAATTTCTGGGCCGGGCATGGTGGCTCACACCTATAATCCCAGCACTTTGGGAGGCCAAGCAGGGTGGATCATGAGGTCAAGAGATCGAGACCATCCTGGTCAACATGGTGAAACCCAGTCTCTACTAAAAATGCAAAAAATCAGCTGGGCATGGTGGCACGTGCTTGTAATCCCAGCTACTCAGGAGGCTGAGGCAGGAGAATTGCCTGAACCCAGGAGGCGGAGGTTGTGGTGAGCCAAGATCGTGCCATTGCACTCCAGCCTGGGTAACA